GAATTTCTTAAAGCCTGGAAAGTAATGATATTTCATCACTGTTTTCCGCTAAATTCATCACAGAACCTATTCATTTCTTTGTAGTGTGTGAGTTTAGTTAAACGCCGATTTAGCAATATTTCATCAAATTGGCAATATTTCATCAAATGGGCTTCACATTGTACATTTGATCTGAAGAAAGACTTTGAACTATCAAAAGTTCAGTTAGACATTGATATCATTCTTTACGGCAACCCTGCTCTGCCAAATACTATCAATGAAAATATATTTAGACATGTGCATAAATACATTGTACGAAGTAAGCGCTTCAATTAATCAATGATATGTCTCAATATTATTATGTCCATCCATTACGTCCAATCATTATTGTTCATGTTTCTGATGGGAGCGGGCGGTAATAAGTTACATAACTTGTGCTCAATCCATTTCAACACTGAATAAAATATGTCCAAACAACAAACATTGTACCCATGTGGGGAATCGAACCCTGGTCTTCGGTGTGGTGAGCGAACGCGTTAACCACTAGGCTACCCCACTGTCCCCATCTCTTTGAAACGCATCATTAATACATATTACACCTGTACTACACATACCTGTTACAACATACAAATACAACATGATATGTATTACTATCATATAAAGATGATTATAAATTCTATCTCACATACGTGTACATGCTTTTAATAGCATTACACACGCTGGAATAGGGTTAGAAGAACGGGTGAGGTTCGTCGTGCTTGAGAATATTTCGCTCATATGGCATCGTGCATGCATGCGTATGTGTATGTGCGGCTGCTTGTACTAGCCCAGACTGAAGCTGGTTTTATAGTGCTAGCCCACTGAGATACCATGCCGCAGTGAAGCATGAATACCCCACTCAGACACATTATACTGACTCCGAGCCGACCAGTCCTTGTTGTACCCATCAATGCCGAGCGCCAGACGAGCGCCAGACAGGGACCAACAAGTACCATATTTTAACGTCTTTTGGTATGACGCGGTCGGGGATCGAACCCGCGACCTTCCGCTCTCCGGGCGGACGCTCTAACCACTACACCACGGAGGCGGTCTTAGAAGAACGGCGCCTCATAAACCTTAAGTACTAAGCTTAGAATCAGTTTTACCCGAGGTTGAAGTTTTGCCCGTTTCACAAAGCAAAGCAGCTAATTAATATAGAATGTAAAGTTGTAATCGTTCGTCATGAAGGGATACGAAACTTTCACATTGTAAATTGCATTTTTTCGCGCTTTGGGAGAAAGAGACAAGTTAGTGCAACACGGAACCCAGAAATACGCCACCTATTTCACGGGGACTGAAAAATATCAAGTGTGGATCAGACAATCCAGTGATTGTTATTACGAAGAACGATCCATCCGGGTTACGATAACACATATCAACCAAGTCACTGTGTTTGGTCACTCAATCCATGTGGCCGCATTTCAGAACAATCAAAGGTTGCTGGGGACCATTTTAACCTGTAATCCCCACTGCTATACATGTCTACTTTTAATCTAGCGCTTAAATTATTCAGTCTAAGAGACAAACACCAAGCACAACAAAATCTCGATACCAAGATATCGATCCGATCACGGTAACAATCTCGAGAAGACTAATTCTAACGGAGAAATCTCATGTTCCAGCTCCATATCTTTGTTAAAATCAATGAAATAATTGAATACAAAGATTGATTTGTTCTTTAACGCCACACTCAGCAATATTCCAGCTATATAACGGCGGTCTGTAAATAAAGTCTGGACCAGACAACCCAGTGATGAGAATCATGAGCATCGAGCTACACAATTGGGACACGATGACGTGTCAACCAAGTCAGCGAGCCTGACCACCCTGAAGTCAACTCTTACAAGCATGGGTTACTGAAGACCAATTCTAACTTGGATCTTCACGGGTGGAATAAAAAGAGACTAAGTGCTTTTTAGCACTGCGCCCCCGTATGAGGACGCCGTGTTTGTTTGGGTGGGAAATCTTCTCTATATTATGATTACAAAGGCATTTAACAATACGTACAGTCAGTAACCCACAATATAGCAGCGTGAGAAACGATGTTGTCACATCTTTATTTCTTGCCCAGTTCTATTCTTTGATTTGAGATTTCAGGGGTTAGCGCGGACGCAGACCCCCACACTTATAAATTACGTACTCGAGTCACCCGCATTTGGGGTGATCGCAGGGGTCAGCCAAACCGAGGTGCAATGGAAAGGCCTCGCCCTGGGAGGACCGCCTTGCGGATCACGGTAACCTCCCGTACCAGGTAAGTATGCTTTGTCTTCCTTCAAATCAGTACTAATACTTGGTCTGGAATGACTCACTTGGGGTGTTGCAGCTTACATATCGAACCTATATAAACAGCAGAGTAATAAGGGAAAATACATCTCTTCTACATTCAAAACACAAATTAATGTTTAATTTTGTGGTATTATATTTTTTTTAAAGACATTGTGCGTTTTAAGAGTCTGTTTTGTCTCAAGGAACAAAACTGACAACATCGTGTGAAGGTGAAGCCTACGTATACCGTCTATTCTCCATACAGGGGCGAGAGAGGGCGAACATTCGTTGAAGCATGCGAGAGTCCGTGAAGCTGATATCAGCCATTCACATCAAACAGCTCACTCCGACCTAAATAGCTAACACCAACCTGACACGTCTAATTCCTCACTGCATGTCATGAATACAGCGACAGTAAACAACATTATCAGAGTCGAAGTCTATTTAAGAGCATGCAACCGAATTCGGAGTGGCGCTGTTCAGAGCTTGCAAACAATGAAAGGCACTACAGCCAATCAAATCCCAGCTCGCGAACCTTGAGAATGGGTATGAAGCTTGTCTATTTGCTCAGTCAAAACACGAGGTATGCAATTCTAGGTTTCTCTCGACTTTTGTGTTGTCATTTGTTCTTATCGTTGTTAATCAATCTATTATTTCAACTGTATTCATGAACCAGAGAAGCGTTTGAAATCACGCTTCACTTATCTTTATTAGCATTTAACATTTCAATGTCATCGCTAGAAACAATTAATGGTTCAGAGGGGAGGGTTGTTTCACTTCTCTGCAAACACAAAACAGGCGTGGATCGCTGAAACGGACCTCGTTGAACGAATAGTTAACACTCTTTATTCCAGCTTCTTATTTATTCTATGGAAATCAAAATAATTGGTAAAGAGAGGGCGGGTATGGAGTAATCGCTTTTCATTCTACTCCAGCAAGGTCAGGCTGAACATCATCATACGTATATGCAAACAATTAATAAAAGTTAGAATCAACCACGAGAATTATTCTCTATTATTTGAGTTGGGGACTAATTCTAACCTGTAAGCCCCCCCCGCGAGATATACCTGTCTACTTACAATAAAAATAGAGGGAGTGTTTTCAGCACTGTGAGCACAGCAGTATGAGGACGTAGCGTTTTTTGTGTATGGGGAGACTCCCTTGATTAAGGTTACAGAGGTATTTAACAGTTGGTTAACAACAGCATGAGAAACGATGTTGGCCACATCTTTGTATTTAGTACAATTCTAATTTTTGATTTGAGTTTTTCAGGGGTTAGCGCGGACGCAGACCCCCACACATATAAATTACGTACTCGAGTCACCCGCATTTGGGGTGATCGCAGGGGTCAGCCAAACCGAGGTGCAATGGAAAGGCCTCGCCCTGGGAGGACCGCCTTGCGGATCACGGTAACCTCCCGTACCAGGTAAGTATGCTTTGTCTTCCTTCAAATCAGTACTAATACTTGCTCTGGAATGACTCACTTGGGGTGTTGCGGCTTACATATCGAACCTATATAAACAGCAGAGTAATAAGGGAAAATACATCTCTTCTACATTCAAAACACAAATTAATGTTTAATTTTGTGGTATTATATTTTTTAAAAACATTGTGCGTTTTAAGAGTCTGTTTTGTCTCAAGGAACAAAACTGACAACATCGTGTGAAGGTGAAGCCTACGTATACCGTCTATTCTCCATACAGGGGCGAGAGAGGGCGAACATTCGTTGAAGCATGCGAGAGTCCGTGAAGCTGATATCAGCCATTCACATCAAACAGCTCACTCCGACCTAAATAGCTAACACCAACCTGACACGTCTAATTCCTCACTGCCTGTCATGAATACAGCGACAGTAAACAACATTATCAGAGTCGAAGTCTATTTAAGAGCATGGCAACCGAATTCGGAGTGGCGCTGTTCAGAGCTTGCAAACAACAATGAAAGGCACTACAGCCAATCAAATCCCAGCTCGCGAACCTTGAGAATGAGTATGAAGCTTGTCTTTTTTATTTGTTCAGTCAAAACACGAGGTATGCAATTCTCGGTTTCTCTCGACTTTTGTGTTGTCATTTGTTCTTATCGTTGTTAATCAATCTATTATTTCAACTGTATTCATGAACCAGAGAAGCGTTTGAAATCACGCTTGACTTATCTTTATTAGCATTTAACATTTCAATGTCATCGCTAGAAACAATTAATGGTTCAGAGGGAGGGTTGTTTCACTTCTCTGCAAACACAAAACAGGCGTGGATCGCTGAAACGGACCTCGTTGAACGAATAGTTAACACTCTTTATTCCAGCTTCTTATTTATTCTATGGAAATCAAAATAATTGGTAAAGAGAGGGCGGGTATGGAGTAATCGCTTTTCATTCTACTCCAGCAAGGTCAGGCTGAACATCATCATACGTATATGCAAACAATTAATAAAAGTTAGAATCAACCACGAAAATTATTCTCTGTTATTTGAGTTGGGGACTAATTCTAACCTGTAAGCCCCCCCCGCGAGATATACCTGTCTACTTACAATAAAAATAGAGGGAGTGTTTTCAGCACTGTGAGCACAGCAGTATGAGGACGCAGCGTTTTTTGTGTATGGGGAGACTTCCCTTGATTAAGGTTACAGAGGTATTTAACAGTTGGTTAACAACATCATGAGAAACGATGTTGGCCACATCTTTGTATTTAGTACAATTCTATTTTTTGATTTGAGTTTTTTCAGGGGTTAGCGCGGACGCAGACCCCCTACACATATAAATTACGTACTCGAGTCACCCGCATTTGGGGTGATCGCAGGGGTCAGCCAAACCGAGGTGCAATGGAAAGGCCTCGCCCTGGGAGGACCGCCTTGCGGATCACGGTAACCTCCCGTACCAGGTAAGTATGCTTTGGCTTCATTCAAATCAGTACTAATACTTGGTCTGGAATGACTCACTTGGGGTGTTGCAGCTTACATATCGAACCTATATAAACAGCAGAGTAATAAGGGAAAATACATCTCTTCTACATTCAAAACACAAATTAATGTTTAATTTTGTGGTATTATATTTTTTTAAAAACATTGTGCGTTTTAAGAGTCTGTTTTGTCTCAAGGAACAAAACTGACAACATCGTGTGAAGGTGAAGCCTACGTATACCGTCTATTCTCCATACAGGGGCGAGAGAGGGCGAACATTCGTTGAAGTTTGCGAGAGTCCTCGTGAGGCTGATATCAGCCATTCACATCAAATAGCTCACTCCGACCTAAATAGCTAACACCGACCTGACACGTCTAATTCCTCACTGCATGTCATGAATACAGCGACAGTAAACAACATTATCAGAGTCGAAGTCTATTTAAGAGCATGCAACCGAATTCGGAGTGGCGCTGTTCAGAGCTTGCAAACAACAATGAAAGGCACTACAGCCAATCAAATCCCAGCTCGCTAAGCTTGAGAATGAGTATGAAGCTTGTCTTTTTTATTTGTTCAGTCAAAACACGAGGTATGCAATTCACGGTTTCTCTCGACTTTTGTGTTGTCATTTGTTCTTATCGTTGTTAATCAATCTATTATTTCAACTGTATTCATGAACCAGAGAAGCGTTTGAAATCACGCTTGACTTATCTTTATTAGCATTTAACATTTCAATGTCATCGCTAGAAACAATTAATGGTTCAGAGGGAGGGTTGTTTCACTTCTCTCCAAACACAAAACAGGCGTGGATCGCTGAAACGGACCTCGTTGAAGGAATAGTTAACACTATTTATTCCAGCTTCTTATGTATTCTATGGAAATGAAAATCATTGGTTAAAGAGAGGGCGGGTGGCCAAATCTTTGTATTTAGAACAATTCTAATTTTTGATTTGAGTTTTTCAGGGGTTAGCGCGGACGCAGACCCCCACACATATAAATTACGTACTCGAGTCACCCGCATTTGGGGTGATCGCAGGGGTCAGCCAAACCGAGGTGCAATGGAAAGGCCTCACCCTGGGAGGACCGCCTTGCGGATCACGGTAACCTCCTGTACCAGGTAAGTATGCTTTGTCTTCCTTCAAATCAGTACTAATACTTGGTACAGAAATACTGAATTGTGGTGTCCTTACAAAAAGGGAACATGTTTTGTTTTTTTAAATACAGTACACAAGAGTGTGTTTATTCTTTCAAATACTTTGATTAATACATATATATTTTTGTGGTGTATAACATCTACCTACTTGTTGTACATATAACCGACATTATGTGCTTATATTGCTTTGCATCAAGTCGCTGCAAGCCGTGGACAAAATGTTGTCAATTACTATTCTCGCGACACGGCTCCTGGTTTCGCCTGCTCACCAGAAAATCATCCACATGTTGTTACCCACACTGTTACGAGTTCGCGAAGGGTCAAAGATAACAACCAATCAAATCGTATCTAAGGCGCCTGCTCGCGACAGACAAGCATTAACTTGATGATGCGCGTACGGCGAGACACTCACTCTGTGCCATAACCGAACAGTATTCGAACCAGTTATCAGACCACTATTCATGAGTAAACCAAATAAAACATCAACAACAGTGAAACATGGCCCTTTTGAGTATAATTCGAAATATGAACACCCCAGGAAGCTCAGAATGTCGTTTAGAAGTATTATCCTTATTATTCTAAAATTATGTATTTTCTTGTCATTGCATATACCTGTAAATCACTATTTCTAAAATTATAAGTGTATCATGACTGGCTATACTGATTCTTTAGGGGGGAAACGCTGAAAATAGTATGTCGATCATAGTTATGTACTGCGCATGTGTACACATATAAAGTTGATGTGCCTCCATACCTAAAATTATTTCAGACATGTTACTCTACATCAATACCAACTTTGATGCTTTTATCATCAAATGCATAGTTCTTATGGAAACTTGATCTTAGCCGCTCTACTATCGAGGTTAACATACTACAAGATGACAAATGATCACAAAATGTCAAAGTCATACAGTTGACTTCACAACATCCAGAGATCCCTTCTCCAATCAGCTGTAAAGAGCTGTAAAGCTACATACCCTAACAGAAAAACGTGTCAAAATACGCACGAGCCGTAAAGTGAGCGAATGTTGTTGTTGTTGTCGTTGTTGTCAACATATATTGTCACCTGCAAATATTATACTAATCACAGGATTGTCTGGTCCAGACACAATTATTTACCTACCGCCACCATTTACCTAGAAAATTGCAGTGTAGCGATAAACCGACAATCAAACGAAACCAAACCAAAATGTCAATATAGCATAGGTGTGTGTGTGTGTGTGTGTGTGTGTGTGCGTGCGTGCGTGCGTGCGTGCGTGGGTGCAAGGGTGCGCAGCCCCTCCCCATTTGACCCGTGAAAACGGGTGAAAATGAAGTGTTCAAGAGTGCGCGTCTCTCTCTTCCACCCCACCCCCCTTCTCAAAAAGCTGTATCCGCCCCTGAATAGTACCCAATCTGCATCGATCAATTGTCAGTCACCGGACTGTCTGGTCCAGATTTGATTGTTAACAGACCGAATCATGTACAGGAAAATCTCCGAGTACGGAGTTGTACATCAAACATATCCTCCGATGTTGTGAGTTACCCGTTCTCACGATTCCGTCAGCTCACCCCCACCCCTGAGCAAGTATACTTTCGATAGAATCCCATGAAAGAGTAAATATTTACCCGCTCCGCATCTTTCTCCTCCCTTTCCTGCATACAGTGCCCCACGTTCAGCCGTTCAACTATCATTTCTTGTAACATACCAACCCAGGATTGCTCATGATGACAAACAGCCATTGAGCGCTTGACAAAACTTCTGGTCATTTTGCTGTAGCACGTGAAGTCCGTGCGCAACATTCGTGGGGTGCACGTGATGATCACGCAGAAAAAAAGTACTCAGTGTCTTTTCACGCATTATTGGCGGTGTTGAGTTTTTATTTGGAAGAATTCAAGTTGTGAAATCAATAACAAATACGTTTACACCAAACTAAAGTGGCAAACGTACTTTCAATCACATATTTGTGAGGCAAAGAGTTGTCGATTTTTGGGGGCGGTTTTCCGTGTTTTCATACTGACGTGAAACAATTCAAAAAACCTTATTTCAATTTTCCCCGCGGCTGTATAAATTCCCCCCCAGAATTATTCTCATTGAAATAACAGGTTCCTGAAGCCAAGAGAGTGATTTACATCATAAATTGATAATTTATAATGACAGTTATCAAGTGCTGTCAATTCCAATTTTCATCAAACTAAGTTACACATTTTCTGAAAAATATGTTTTTATATATATTTTTCGGCCGCCCGCTCTCTTGCCCTTTAGTTTGGTGATGACAAACACATATAATACGGACGGTCTCAGAGCTTGCTTTTTTTAGAAGTATTTCTGAAACGCGGGCGCATTGAGCGGTGGGTTGTGACAAGAAAGCCTTGAAGTTGTGAAATGTCTAAGGGAGGTAACTCCGGACACCCTATTTCATCAACACGACAATCCATATGTATGTTCTTCTTGACGAATGCTGTGCTGTGGGAAGCTGATAGATAGGAGATCACTGGTGTACATGTATTTAAAGATGCATAACCAATACGAGTCCGTGATTTGATAATCCGATACATTCTCTATACGGACGATAACTGGGTTTTCACTCATCCATTCGCACAGTTTGAACCTTTCCCTCTGAAGGAGGCACCTGAATAAAGGGATGGAATTACCAATATGCTATGCCTGTCTTAAGACACGACTAGATGCCATGATTACTTCGGTGATTTAGTTTTGCTGCTGTTCTTTTTTAACTGTTAGCATTCTAGCGCACCAGCTTGTTGGTATATGTACTCTTCAGGAAGCTGGCGATGAAGTGTGAGGGTACTCTGATCCATAGTCGGGGAAACTTATATTGAGCCATTGTGCACTGAAGGAATCATCATCATCATCACCACCAACTACATCATCATCTTCATCATCATCAATAACATCATCATCATCATCATCACCACCACCACCATCATCTTCATCATCATCATTTTCACCACCACCATCATCTTCATCATCATCATCAATAACATCATCATTATCATCATCACCACCATCATCATCACCACCATCATCTTCATCATCATCATCAATAACATCATCATCATCATCGTCACCACCACCATCATCATCATAATCATCATCATCATCAATGTATTCTGATTGAAGGGTGACATTTTACTGACGCCCCTGGCTCCGGTAGTCTGGACCTTTGTTAGAAGCAGTTACTGTCATGTTTAGTTATATTTAAACATATTTTATTCACAAAGTGAAAAGAATCGGGGTCAAGTTTGTTACAACTTAATACCGTCAAGGCGCCAGGGGAATATCTAAATGTAACAATAATCGGTCTCTTCTTCGCACACGTACACCATTCGTTAATCCGGGTTGTTTTTCTTTTTTTATTCCTTCTCAATGGGATATGTATTCTGGCACGTGGGGACTGGGGGACGAATGTGTCCCAGCACCCTAATCCCGGTCGTAAGAACTAAACTGAAGAATTTTTGGGTAAGAAATGGTCCCCGTCATCTTTGCTGGCCATACGACTTCGTGGATCGCGTGGTCAGGATCGGTGTATTGGTTGGTAACGTACATGCCTTCGTCCCCAGAAATCGTGGGTCGTTGCTCATAGCATCGGCCTTTATATGGTCTGTGTCTGGCTTGACTGCGACTGACTGACTGACTGAGTTTGGTTTAACGCCGCTTTTAGCAATATTCCAGCAACATCACGGCGGGGGACACCAGAAATGGGCTTCACACATTGTACCCATGTGGGGATTCGAACCCGGGTCTTCGGCGTGACGAGCCAACGCTTTGACCACTAGGCTACCCCACCGCCCGGCTTGACTGCGGCAACAAACACACACAGGAGAGGCGAAGTGAGTTTGAATGAGTTTAAGATTGCGTTCAAACTTGCATGGAACATTTTAACGACTTTCATGCAGTGTGCGTCTGCGTGTGCGTCTACTGGCTAACAAGAGATACCCCAATCATTTGGTATGAGGCGTCTTTGGGATACAAACCACCGATCCCCCTATCTCTGGACAAACACTCGTTCCACTAGACCTTTTTTTAACACCAGGTCGTTCAGTGAAGAAATAATTAGTATTTCTGTAAGCCTTAGGGAATATGACAAAGTGTAATTTATATATTATAAATAAAATAAAATATAATCTTTCAAGCCGACTAGATATTCTTGTTGGGTGAATGATTCTTTGTAGATATTAGTGAGTGAGTGAGTGAGTGTGGTTTAACGCCGCCTTCAGCAATATTCCAACAATATCTTGGACATAACACTAGAACATGGGTTCAAACATTACACCCATCGACTCGAACCCGGGTCTTCTGTCTGACGAGCGAACACTTGAACCACAAGGCTACCCCACTGCCCCAATGTAGATAAGATACTCTGGGTAATCGAGATTACCTTATATACTGAACAAATTACATTTTTCAAATCCTCGGTATCCCTCGGGATGAAAATTGCAAACCCAGGATAAATATTTAAATTAAGTATTGGTGTTATTCTTTGTTTAGGAAGCTTTTTAAAATCATTTCAAACAATAAATCGATATCTTTTATCAAAGTTTACTTGTTTGATAAAGCACATGCTGTACCACTATACAGTGACACTTTAATCGGTAAATGGATTTTGCAATAAAAACATTTGTGCAGAAAATAACGTTTGGGTTACTTGACTGGAATGAAGACAAAATTGAAGGAAGGAGCTCGACTGCCAAGTAATGGGATGAAGGTGGCAATTTCGACCGAGTATTTGGAATTTGTAGCGTGTTTTGTATTGATTGTGTCTTGAGTGACGATGCTGCTTGAGCCCGGAGTCTTGATTGAAATCACCTGCGGGGACTTTTTGAAGATATAATGTTGTTTTACGACTTATTTTATTGCAAGAATTCGGACTTGTGCCATTGCACACTCAGATTCAATTTCGCTGAATTTAGTCAAAATTGACACAAACGTGAACAAACTGATAGTGTCCTTCACCTTCGTTCGCCAGCTGTTGTATCCTTACGTTCAACCACAGGCAAACTGTTGCGCAAATAGGGTTGCGCAACAGAGAGAAAAATGACCAGTCTTTGCGCTACAGTTTGCCCGTGGTTCAAGTGATATGACGTCAAGCCCGTGCGAGTGAATGATGTTTTGTCGGGTCAGCAGTATTACATCTCGAGTAAAACAACGGGTAATTACTCGAAATAACAACCTTACGAGAACTGAAACAAAACAACGATAGAGTCTTTGAACGGCATTTAGAAGTGATACACATACAGGCGAGAATTTATGGATATCAACTTCTGTAGTTTGAGGAACACGACGTTTCTTCTTTGTTCTGATTCCTTCATCAGGTGAATAAATAAAACGTTGTGTTCCTTAGATTAAATAAGTTGACATCAATAAATTCTCTCGCCTTTAAAACAACGATAGTTGACAGAAAGGGCAATGGCCAACGCCAACAGCGCCCAAATCTCCCTTGGAGCTTACGAAAACCATGAAATAAGGAGAATTCGTTCGGGCCTGAATCCCTACATGAAAAGAATGAGTAGATGGAACATTATTGTCCCCAAGCCACAATAATAGGCTGTAATATTATAGACTGAGATCATGAGAGTGGTCGTGTACAGGACCAACCTTTAATACCCCTCTCTGTTGAGAACAAGGTTTCTTTAGGTTTGTACTCTGAAGTCTGCCTTTTTTCTGCGAAATGAGGAGCCAGGTATACGCCCATGCAGAGGTGGTAGTGAGTACCCTGATATATATGATACCAGGTATACGATCAGAGGTGGTAGTGAGTACCCTGATATATATGATTACCAGGTATACGATCAGAGGTGGTAGTGTGAGTACCCTGATATATATGATACCAGGTATACGATCAGAGGTGGCAGTGTGAGTACCCTGATATATGATACCAGGTATACGATCAGAGGTGGTAGTAGAGTACCCTGATATATATGATACCAGGTATACGATCAGAGGTGGTAGTGAGTACCCTGATATATATGATACCAGGTATACGATCAGAGGTGGTAGTGAGTACCCTGATATATATGATACCAGGTATACGATCAGAGGTGGTAGTGAGTACCGATATATATGCTACCAGGTATACGATCAGAGGTGGTAGTGTGTACCCTGATATATATGACCAGGTATACGATCAGAGGTGGTAGTGAGTACCCTGATATATATGATACCAGGTATACGATCAGAGGTGGCAGTGAGTACCGATATATGTTACCAGGTATACGATCAGAGGTGGCAGTGAGTACCCTGATATATATGATACCAGGTATACGATCAGAGGTGGTAGTGTCGATATACCCTGATATATATGCCCAGGTATACGATATAGAGGTGGATCAGCGGTGAGTACCCTGATATATATGTTACCAGGTATACGATCAGAGGTGGTAGTGAGTACCCTGATATATATGTTACCAGGTATACGATCAGAGGTGGTAGTGAGTACCCTGATATATATGCTACCAGGTATACGATCAGAGGTGGTAGTGAGTACCCTGATATATATGATACCAGGTATACGATCAGAGGTGGTAGTGAGTACCCTGATATATATGATACCAGGTATACGATCAGAGGTGGTAGTGAGTACCCTGATATATATGATACCAGGTATACGATCAGAGGTGGTGGTAGTGCAGTACCCTGATATATATGCAGATACCAAGGCGCATACGATCAGAGGTGGCAGTGTGCAATA